TGTCGTCACCCACGCGGAGCATCCTGCCGGGGTGTCACAAAGTGCCACGTGTGTGTCCTCCCCCCGTGGTGACACTCATTCCTGGACCCCACGGCGTGGCACGAGGGGGTGACACGAAGGTGTGGGGGGTCTGCGGGAGGGAGCCCCGGCCCAGCTCCCTCGGGATTCGGCGGCGGGCGGGATGTCACCGTCACCGGGAGCCACGTGCCGCATGCTCGTCCCCGGCGCCGCAGAAAAGGGCATTTTTTTCCCCATCCTGGCTCCGGTTTGATGTCAGCACATCTCTGGAGCCGCCGGGTGCTCGCTGTCTTCCTCATCGCCCCGTCCCACCCCGGTGCTCCGGATCATCCTTCGGCTCCTCGCCGGGACCTCTGTGCCGCCCGGGATGGGGGTCTCCATCCCACCAGCCCCCCAGCCCCATGGGGAAGGCGGGTGGGTTCATTGCGCTGGGGCAGGGGAATGCCGTGGGGAAACCTCCCTCCTCTTCCTCCTCCTCCTCCTCCTCCATGGTCTCTTGCCCTGGCCCAGGGGGTTTAAGCCGCGGCACGAAGGGGAGGGTGGGCACCGGGGGAACCACGCGTCCTCCTGGCACCGGGGATGGTGGGGCCCGAGGCTCCCGGGACCGGCCTCGTGACCATCAGGAGGAGTAAAAACCCCGACAGAAGGACGAGGGACGGGAAGGGGGTGAGGAAACCAGCCCGGGGGGGTTCCCAGGCCGAGCCGGGGCTACTGACGCTCCATGGCTGCGTGCCGGTGGCTCCCTGTGCCGTGCCGTGCCCCAAAACCCCGTGGAAGCATCTAGGGACCCCCAAAATCCCCCCCGGGATGGCATTGCAGGAGGGAGCAGGGGTGCTCCCACAGCGTCTCGGGGGGGAATCAGAGAATCATGGGACGGTTTGGGTGGGAAAGGACCCTAAAGGCCATGGAGTCCCACCCCCCCGCCCTACGGACACCTCCCACCGGCCCAGGTTGCCCAAAGCCCCCTCCAACCTGGCCTTGAACCCCTCCACTTCTCTGGGAAGCGGCCTGGGGGGGGACCCCAAAAGCGGGATGGGGGGTGAGGGGGACGGCACAGGCAGGGGGTGCCGAGGCATTGGAGGGGTGGGACGGCGGGACGTGGCCGGGTCTCAGGTGAGGGTGGCTTCGTCCCCGTGGGAGCACTGGTGGGCGGCGAGGTTGCCCTTCTGGGCGAAGCTCTGGCCACACTGTGGGCAAGCGGCGGGGGGGCTGTGGCCGGCGTGGGTGCGGCGGTGGCTCCTCAGGGAGCCCTTTTGGCCGAAGGTCTTGCCGCAGTCGGGGCAGGAGAAGGGTCGCTCGCCCCCGGGGCCGCCGCTCCGCTGGGGGGTGGCCGGGCCGCTCCGACAGGCCAAGGGACCACCGGCGGCCTCGTGGGGCTGCGGGGAACGGCTCCCCCCGGCTCGGACCTCCTGTGGGGCGGCGGGGCCGGTGGGGTCCTCCTCGGGGTGGGTGCGTTGGTGGTTGAGGAGGAAGCGCTGCTCTCGGAAGCGCTTCCCACAGCGCTGGCAGGAGAAGGGCTTCTCGCCGCTGTGGATGCGCTGGTGGGTGAGGAGGTTCTGCTTGAGGCTGAAGCTCTTCTGGCAGACGCCGCACTGGTAGGGGCGCTCCCCGGTGTGGATGCGCTGGTGGATGATGAGGTTGTGCTTGAGGCTGAAGGCTTTGCCGCACTCGGCGCAGATGAAGGCGCGCTCGCCGGCGTGGTGCTTCTGGTGACGGGCCAGCCCGGGCTGGTGGCCGAAGCGTTCCCCGCAGAGGATGCACTTGAACTCCTTCTCCTCCTCCTCCTCCCCCTGGCTGTGGATCACCAGCGCCTTCTCGTCCCCCAGGCCCTCCTCGCCCCCGGGGAAGGCGAAGGGGTTCTCGCCCGTGGGAGACGCCAGGTCAGTCATTTGGGGGGGAGGGGGGGGTCCTGCTGCCCGGCTCAGGGCGCCCGCATCCCTGGGGGGGTGG